GATAATTACCCAAGATTAATAGAGCCTAATTGATCTATTACATATGATAAACTTATGAGTCATGCATGAGTTAGGATTCACATTATAGCACATAACAAATAAAATCATGATATCATCTACTTCAAAATTACACCCTACTCTACAAAAAGGAGGGCAAATGTGAGGTCTTCAATGAGAATAATATGGGAAGATGCATTATACCCTTCTCAAATAAAAATTTCAAGAAATATGCCTTAGATCCGATGCAGTGAAAGGAAAATAAAAATTCTTACCGCTTGGGAAGAGGACCTCGACGAAGGTTGGGAAAGAGGACCTCATCGAGGGTTGGGGAAGAGGAGGAGATGCGAGAAGATCTGCGCTCGGGAAGAGGAGGAGATGCAAAGATGCGAGACGATCTCGTTCGGGAAGAGGATGAGATGCGAGACGTTCTTCGCTCGGGAAGAGGAGCTTCGGGAGTTCGGGGAAAAATATTACATCAGTACTACGCACGTAGAGTAATATGTGTAGCCAATGAAATAACGCCACGACGCCCTGCGTGATAGAGAAAAAAAACGGCGCAGTAACACGGGGAATATTCCCTTCCGTGTTATTCATGTGTTATTGTGTATTATTATGTGTTATTGTGTCCTAGGAATATTCTTGATGTTATAATAACGCAATAACACATCAATAACACATGAATAACACACAATAACACATGAATAACACGGGAAAAAAATATTCTCCGTGTTACTGCGCCGTTTTTTTCTCTGTCGGGAATATTCCCCGTGTTATTCAAGTGTTATTGTGTGTTATTCATGTGTTATTGTATTTTGAGAATATTTTTGAAGTTATAATAACAGAATAACACATCAATAACACATGAATAACACACAATAACACATGAATAACATGGGGGGGGAATATTCCCCGTGTTACTGCGCCGTTTTTTTCTCTTGTCGCACGTGGCGTGATTTTATTGGCTACGCACCGCATTTCCACGTGCGCAGTACTGATGAAATATTTTTCCTTAGGGTAGAGGGCACCAATGTAAACAGAATTTTTCCAACAATTTATACATTTAATTTGAGATAATTTGTTGAGGATAAATTTTATTTGTTATTTATTATTTACTTTATGTATATTTTGATTTGAAATAAATTATATTTGATATATTTAATTAATATATGAATATTTTTAAAAATATTCGAAACCATCTAAAATTTATTTTGAGTATGATAAAAAATGTATCAATTATTTTTAGCCAAAAAAAATATTAAATTCAACAAATATATTTTTAAAATCAACCGGCAATACAAAAAAAAAAACTAAAATAAACTTATTCTCAAATAAAATAACATTTTTCAAATCACAATCAATTAAAATAATTTTCATTCAATTGTTTTTAAACAATAGTGAATTAATTCTTATAATTGATATCCGCAAGAAAATTTGCAGCAGTAGAATAGTAGATTATCGTTTTAGTGTGGTACGAGTATTCAACATGCACTTATAAGAGAGAAAATAACTAGTATTGACAACATAAGTTTTTACGTGGAAAACCCAGAAAGGAAAAAAAAACTAGAGGGCCTAGCCCAACTGAAGAAATTTACTATAACTTAGATATTACATATACAGTTCCTCGTCCCACAGACGGGAATTTGATTAATACTCTTCAGAATTACAATATCGGTGCACGAATGAATGAACTTATTGTAAGAAGTGGGAGGAGACCGATGGCGATCTGTGGAGGCCGACAGGTGGTGGTCGACAACTAACGGTATTGATTGATGGAGGCCAACGGTGGTCAACGATTGTCAACTGTGATCAACGGCGATTGGAGTGACGTTGGGCTTCAACTCCTCAAAACTTCAAGCTTTTGTTCAGGCTTCATGCTCTGTTCCCCTCATGAGATGGGTGGGTCTTTATTTATAGCGTTTTTGATGCAATTAATGTTGAAATATTGACCACTTAGATCAGAAGGTCATGAAAGTTTAGTATGATCAAACATTATTTGATGGATATTTGAGTGTCTTAATGATGTTGGAATTGAACGATTTTAAGCTCGTTGGATTCTTCTTATCTAGACACTCGATTTGATTATAGACTTACTAGATTCGACATTCGTTTAACATTTTAAATATGTACAAAAATCTTCCAAGAGTGGTTTAATGCCTTGATCTGAGCTTGATTTGACTCGGGTTGGACTAATTTTGATATCATTGAGTCTGTCTCATCGAGCCAGTCAGTTTGACTATAAGTTTACTGAAATCAGAGCTCTGAATGACTCTTGATTGAAGTTTGAATGTTTTTTGCTAAAAAGATTGTCTCGAAATTCCCGTCGAGTGATGAAAATTTGTTGACGGCGTATCAATAATTAAACACAGAAACATCTTATATAGATTCATTAAAATTAATGGCAGTTGTCATCTGTTGTAATTTGTTGTCTTTGGTGTAAGTATTTGAAATACTTTATAAACAATTTAAATTTACATTATAAATGAAATATTTAAAATTTTAAACATTTTAAAAATAAAGAGCAGCTTAGGGTTGTAATCGAGTCAACTTGAGTTTGTCGTGGATTGAATTTGGCTCGGTCAAATCATAAGTTATTCATCTATAGTTCAAGTTTGTTTATGCTGAGTACTAGATTTTTCATCTTAATTGAATAAGTTTAGAGTTTTAACGAGTGCATCATCTTTTATATAAAATAAAAAAATTAATTTGAAATCTATTTTTTTGTATAACTGTTGTAAATATGCTAAAAATTTAAAATTATTAAAAAATAAGTTTCCAAATTTAAATAAATAAATTATTGAATAAATTTTAAATTAACATATATATATATATATATATAATTTAAAATTTATTCAATAATTTATTTATTTAAATTTGGAAACTTATTTTTTAATAATGTATATATAAGATATATTTTTTAATAATTTAAAATTTATTCAATAATTTATTATATATGTTAACTTAAATATATAAGATATTTAAGTTTTTAAAACAACGGAATAATATTAATAAGTTTTAACAAACAACCTCATTAAAATAAAAATAATAAGAAATTATATTAAATTTATATGCATATAAGTATTAAATTACAATATATTATTATTGAACATATAATTAAATAAGCTCTAATCATTTTTTCACTTATTCATGGTAGTGGTTGATGGTGTAATCTCTCCTCATGATGCAACAAGTTCGAACAGCAAAGATTGCACATTTAGGGTAACATTTCTCGAAAAAAAAAACTTACTTAAGTCTTATTTATACAATAAACATATAAATATAGAGCATTTAAGAGGTTATTTATTGAACAATAAACGAGTTTGATTGTGATCTTTAAAAAGAGAGTTAGACTCTTCATATTTGATTCACCTAATATTTGAGTTTTCAAAAAATATTCAAACTTTTTTGTTTACTAAGACTCCGTTTAGGGGGGCGGGGGCGCGGCCCATAATTGCGGCGAAAAAATGTAAAAAATGTTTGGTTACAAGCTTTGCAGCCCCACGTCGAAGAAGCTGGGGGAGAGAAGGTGGCGGAGTTAACTCCACGGCCTCGCGTTCGCCCCGCTACTATTACCTTTTGCCCCGCATTTTTTTCTCTTCTGCCCTAGCTGGAAGCACGCTGCCTCTCTCTTGAATCCTCTGCGCCTTCTTCTTCCCTAACCTTGAACAAACGAAATGAGGTATGGCTAACCTTTCCCTTCACTTGTTTTTGTGGATCTGATGGGTCTTCCGTTATTGAAGAAAAAAATGTGAGGAAGCTTTTAGCGTTTGGAAGTCTTCTTCCTTTTCTCTTTCCCATCTATCTCATCTCCCTCTTTTCCATTATTTTTGATGGATCTAAAGTATCTCTTTCTCGCTTCTCCCATCTCACTCTTTTCTTGGTGGATCTCATATTTTTGGCTGCTCTGGCTTTCAGCTTGATCTAGTCAATTGATGGAAGATTTGCATTTTAAAACAAGCTGATGGATGGGGGTTGTGGCAATAGTTCTTTAGCATTCTTGTTAATATCTGTGAATTGATCAGAGCTGGTATTTTGTTGGCTGGGCTATAGATCATATTACGGGTGTGAAAGACTAAATTTGGCAATTATTTGATCTGTATTGGTATTTCATTTGAAAGGATATTTGATCTTCATTTTTGGTGATGGCTGAATTTGGGATTTATTTGATCAGAACATGTATTTTCGTTGCTCTGACATTCTCTAGCTTCACTGCTGAATCTGTCAGATGATCTTTTATCTCCAAGCCACGAGAAGGGTAGGGAGGTGGAAGCATCATTTATCTACAAGCCGCGAGAATGGTGTAAATTCCATAATAAAAATATATAAATAATTTCAGAAGATGAACAAAACATCATTTTTTTTAAATATTGTTCCTTTACAATATTTTAGAGAAAATATATTTATTACATATATGCTACCCAATTAAATACAATCCTTTTCACGAGTCATCTATTTCATATATTTATCTATTCAACACTTAAATTTTTTACATATATTAATCAATTTCATATATAAACATATCTAATACTTAAATTTATTCAAATTTATTCAATAACAATGATAAATTTTGTATATTTATATATATTAATCAATTTCATATATATACATAAAAATTTTTAAACAGTTTTAACAAACAGACGCAACATGATTATTTCTCCAGAAACAACAGCCCCACAATTGCACCAAACAGACAACCAACTTTCCCGCAGCAGCTTTCTAGGACAACGCAGCTGCAGCTGAAAAACTAAAAAAACTACAGCCGTCACAAACGGAACTTAAGAGAAATGCATTGGTTCATTTATAGCGCTAGAGTACCTAAATAAGTTTTACCTTGGGAGATTTACAAGCATACCATTCATTAAATATATCTAACGTTTTTAAATTATTATCAATATAATAATTTATTAATTATTACTCAATTAAAATAATACAATTAACTTAAATAAAAAATAAAATAAAATTACCAACCTATCTCCTCTTGGCCGGAAAAGCTTACCCCCGTCCCCCAAAAACCCTAGCTTGCTCCCCCTCCTCCTCCCCCTCCCCCTCGCTGGATTTCTGGTGTCGCGCAAAGCTATCTCCTTCGTGGCCAAACTGCCCCTCCCCCTCCCCTGGATTCTTGGTGTCGCGCAAAGCTATCTCCTTCGTGGCCAAACTCTTATGAGACAGATGCGATTAGAGATAGCTGGGAAGGCAGCGACGGTATCGCGGTGTACAGAATTCCTATCTTTCTCCTCTTGCCGCCCTTTTCCTACCGAAAGTTAAATTCACATCTTCCTTTTCGCGCGAAAGCCCATCCCGGATTCACTAAATCCTGGATTTAAGGCCGAAATCCTTGAAATCCGGATTTCTCAAATCTGCAGCTTTATTTTGTCCAGAAGTCCTGGTTAAATCCTGATCTAAATTCCTTACAAGACAGGTCCTTAAGAACCTGTAGGCTTTACGAATGCGTTTTGTGCCGTTTGGTAGGATTTAACATGAATCCTGTATAAATTTTGCTTAAACTGGTGGAGGAAGGCAAAACTGCTTTATTATTCAATAAACCCCGACTCCCGCCAGGCAGTTAACGGCGCGCCTCCGCAATTAACGGCGATGGTACGGCTCCGGCGATCAGCTAAGCACTGCCGCCTTCTCAGACGGCCTTTGTTTTCTTCCTTCTCTCGCGCTCTCTATCTTACTCAGTTGGCCTCCGCAGGCAGAACTAAAGCGGCAGGTATGTTTTTTTAATTTCCATCTGTCTATAGCTTATATTCTTAAGATTTTTCTTTGATTCATTCTACTTTGCAGCACAGAGTGGACGTGCAGGTCTCAAACGCCCCTCGAAAATCAAACCGGTGGAGTCATCCGTTTCGTCGGACGATGACGATGAAGAAGAACATCTGCAAGAAGTGAGCTTTAAAGAGACAAACTATGTTTTTTTGTTGCCTCTGGATTTTTCATATGCTTCATTTTTCTGCCACTCATTTTTGGTAAAAAGGGCACAATCGTTGAAGCGGATTTCGGATTCTTTGACCCCAAGCCTGGGGATTTCCATGGTGTGAAGCTTCTGCTCCAAAATTACCTTGATGAAAAGGTGTGGGATCTCAGTGGCTTCGTTGATCTGATTCTTGGGCAGACAACTGTCGGGACTGTTGTGAAACTGGATGGGAATGATGAAGTTGAAGAAGGTGGCAAAGAAGATTTGTACGCTGTCATTAGTGCCCTTAACTTTGGGCGATATAGTGTATGAACAAAGCTGTCTTTTTGCTGAGACACAGGTTCTATTGTTTATGTTTCTTTTGTATTCTGAAAATAAATTCTTCTTCAGGAGCATCAATGCATGGGGGAGCTGAAGGAGTTTCTCTTCGGTGTTTGTGGTGATGAGAGCGTGAAAAGGAAGCTGAAAGTGCTGCTGGAGCAGCAGGCAGACGATGTGGGTCTTTTAGTTTCTCAGAGGTTTGTGAACTGCCCGCACCAGCTGGTGCCCCCACTATATGATGCCCTCTTTGACGAGGTTTCTTGGGCAATAGAAGATGAGGTTGGATGGTGATATTCTATCTTGCTCGTTCCTTATATTTTGGTGCCAATTTTTCATTGATAACTGATTTAATGACTATTGCCTCATATATTTTTTTGAAGCCAACGAAGGAACTTAGAGACTCATTCTGCTTCAAGTTCTACTTGCTGGTTACTAGAATCTATGAGGTGTTTCTCATGCCATCCACTATTTCATAAAAAATACCATCATTTTAACTTTTTTTAAAAAATGAAATACATCTTTTCATGCATATGGAAGGTGACATGTATGTAAAAATTAAAGTTTAGGCATTAAATATGTAAATACATAAGAATTGAGTGGTATGTATGTAAAGCTTACTATCTTTTTTTTGTAAAGCTTAATCTCCCCGTTATGCTGACGCTACTATCATTTATAATTGTAGAATAAACATGCCAACCAACTCAATGCAAAAGAAAGGAATAATTCTGAAGATCCAATAATCTACCTAAAGGTGGAAGATGAAGTTTTCCATGAGGTAGATGAATTATATTTGTTATAAAATTTCTTGTCACTCATTTATATACTCATCAGTAAACTTATCTCATTTCAGCTGAGTTCGTTTTCTTTTACATTTCGTCTTCATTCTTCACCGTTTGTTCCACCCGAGGTATGTTTATATTGCGCTTTACCTTTTAGTGATTTCACCCTTTTTATTATTTTCTCCTGCTGTTAGGTGGGCTTAATGAGATCATGAAACCAATCATTGTTTCTTGCATGAAATTTTGAGTATGTCGATTTTATACTTAGGATAGCTCTTCATGCTGTTCGCCTGGATGTTGATATGTGGCATTGTTGGTATTTCATTTATCTCTTCTTGATATGATTTCCCTGTTAGCTTATTTTGTATACACTAGTTCCATGTTGCATTAATAAAACTACTATGCGGTATTGTTTGCTAACTGCACGATTGCGTGCTTTAATTTGGTTTCATTGGCTGTTTGAATTTGATAAACATTGGATAAGCATATTGTCAGATGTGTATTGTGAATTTCTCTAAATGAAGTTGCTTGACGCCCAAACAAAGTGAGGATGAAGCTTCAAAGCTTGAGTGTTCTGTGTGTGTGTGTATTAAAATTATTTGTTTTTTATAATATTCATAAGGTTAAAATTATTTGTTTTTTATAATATTCATAAGGTTAAACATAAAATATTAAAGTAACATGATAAAGTAAAAGATTTCTATTTATTTATGACAAGACATACAACAATAGTAAATTACTCCCGCATACACAGATATAAATTTTGAGACAAAATAGGAATGAAAAATTGTATCGGGCAAGGAAAAGCTATTGTTTTTCATGATTTATGCTATAGAATTAGAAGTAAGGAAAAAATAATAATAATAGGATCTTGTTTCAAGTTGAAGATCCTGAATAAAAATGGAACATTGTTTTGAGAAATTATATATATGAGTTTTAAGGAATAAAGAGTAAGTGGAGTTATCATACTTTAGGCTTAGCTGTGATACTGATGTGTATCAAATTGGCATATTATTTTTTTTTATTTTTATTTGTGTTATTTTTATGTTTTATATACTTGGGTGATAAAGATAATATAGGGAAAAAGAAGTTAAAACGAAGTGCCTAAGTCCTAGACCAACACTCCTGCGCCAGTCTTGGGCGCCTAAAGCCAGAGCCTCAGGTGCCTCAGCGCCAGTTTTGTGTGCCGAGACGCATGTCCTAGGAATGAGAAGATAGAGCACTTGGAAAGTTGTCGCCGGTATTTACTCCATCCAAAAATTTATAGCTAAGTATTTACTCCATCCAAAATGGCTAAGCTTAAAAATGATCACCTTCTTTACCCACTTAGATGGTAAATCCATATATAAAGCTTGGGAAAGATTTAAGGAAATTCTTAGGAAGTGCACGTGCAATGCCCTACCTGATTGACTAATCATACAAACCTTGTATATTGAGCTTGTCAAATTTGTGAGATCTATAATAGAAGCTGCAACTGGGGGGTTGTTAATGTCTAAACTATTTGAGGAGGCCTACACACTTATACAAGAGATGATTACCAATAATTTTCAATGACCCTCCGAGAGAGTCAATCCTAAAAGAGTAGTTAGTGTTCATGATATTGATGTGTTAGTAATTTAGACTTCACAAGTAGCAGTTATTTTGAGGAATCTAGACAATCTAGGCTTACATCCAGCACCAGGATCTCTAGTAATAGAAGAGAATGTCTATGTGCAGTTAGTGGATTCTAGTAGTACTCATGTTGTGTTAAAAAATGTTATCAATAATATACCCAATAATCCTTATTCTAACACCTACAACCCTGGTTAGAAAAATTACCCTAATTTTAACTGAAATAACAACCAAAGTATAGGAAGTGATCAATGGATTAGCAACCAACAAGACAACCTAGGTAACTGAAGCAATCAAGATAGTAATTTCTCTAACCCCGACCCTAATTATCTTTCGGGATTCATGTCAAGTACACAATTTAAAGAAAAAAGAAAATTTTGGAAGATTTAGCATTACAAATAGGAAATCAAATATAGATTCATGCAACAATCATATGAAACATTGAAACACAATAAGGGCAATTAATTAAGTCGTTGAGTGATAGGCCCCAAAGGTTGTTACGAAGTAACACAGATGAATTTAAAGAACCATGATGTGAGCAGTGTAAAACCATTAAACTTAGAAGTAGAAAGGAGTTAGAGGAGGTAGGAAGGGAAGAGTCTAGAGCAGAAGAGTCCTAGTTTGAGAAATCAATTGAAAAATCTTCATAAAACTTGAGCAAAATACATTTACCTTTGTGGAAGGGACTTGAGCACCACACTTTCCTTGGAGATTAATATGAGAAAAATTGGACCAAAAATTTTCTAGATTATTGGAAATGTTCCAAAAGCTCGTTATTACCATTCTATTTACAAAAGCTTTTAAACAAATGTCCAGTTACATGAAATTTATGAAAAAATATTTAAAGTAGAAATGTAAATTCTCAATTTTCGGAACTGTGACATCAATTGAATAGTGTAGTGCTATAATTTAAAAGAAACTCCCTCAAAAACTGAAAGACAGATAGATTTAACATTTCTTGCATAATAGGGGATAAATTTTCTGAAAAAAAATTATGTCACTTAAGAGCTAGTATTAACCTCGTGTTTTTTTCGGTATTTAAGAGACTAGGATTAAGAAAGCTTCAACCTACCACTATGACCATGCAATTAGCTGATTGTTCCTTGACTGTACCTAGAAGTGTTATAGAAAATTTCCTAGTGAATTTTTTTGTTTTGTTTTATAAGGAAGACGCTGAGATCTCAATTATACTAGGAAGACCATCTTGCAACTAGCAAGGCGAATATTGACATGTAAAAAGGGGAGTTTATTATTAGATCTCAATTATTTCTTGTTTGATCTTATTTTGTTTGTATAAACTCATACTTTGAATTTCAATGGATTTTTTTTTCTTCAAATATTTTTAGGAAATAAGTGTTTATACTACTTTGATTTGGTAGTGTGATGAATCTTACTCAATCCATGAGATTTCTTTAAGATTTTTTTATGTTTATTGCACGTTGGTGTGTTAAGGTTCCAAACCTAACTTTCTATTATGCTGCTTGAAAAATTAAAAACCCTTGTGATCTATAACCTGTCATTGACTAGAAGCCTAACACTTTGTCACTCAGTGAAATAGGAATATCATCATTAGAAGATTACAATCTGATAAGAGGTTAGAGAATTCTTGGGAGTCTTTGCATGGTTAAGTAAACTTTATCGTAATATGAGACTCCTACGCTTCTTATAATTAGGAATAGAGTAAGGGGTAATTGTCCCTGATTGTCAACATTAGGTAGAGGAAATTCATTGGAAGAATATTGAGGATACACGTTATCCAATTCATAGAAGCATGTTTTTAGATTTTTTTTTTAGAACAAGTAAAAAACATAGTTAGATTTTCATTTGCAAATTTAGGATTTAGAAATTTTAAAAAATTTAAACACTTCAAAGTAAACTTAGGATTAGTGAAATAACACTTTTACCTAAACCTAGGATTAGTAAACTAAAAATTTTATCCATTGTGGAAGTTAACAAGTTCCCTGTGGGATCAATACACGAACGCAAAACCTTGAAATATGCATATTGCATTAAACAAAGGAGAAAAGTACAAAAGTGACAGAAGTAGGTCAAAAGACCTAGGCAAAAGAGGCCCTATCATCACGGAGAATGTCAGAAAGCTCTGATGATTCAAGGACCGTATCAAAAGAAAAACTATGTGTAAAAGCCCTTTGGACACAAAAATGGGTAGCCCAATTGAGCTCCCTAGGAACAAAATGGAAAACAACCTGTTTAAAAGAAAAAAAGAAAGTTAAAAGCATCACACAACTCCGGTTATCCTTCAACGTCTCTTGGTTGAGCAAGTTCCTCACGTAGTTAATGATGTTAGTATTATCACCTTCAATGATAAGCCCTTTAGCCACAAGCATCCAAGGGTGCATAAGAGATTGGATAGCCGCAATAGCTTGTAGCTCCTCAAATCCATATATTGCTTGAGTGACACGTATACTTGTGTATTTAACTCGTGCTTCAAAGCATTGCTGCATCAGATACCTATTTAGATTTAGGAAATTTGAGTTTGAATGGAAAATTACAAATTATCAAACTTATTTCAAATATGAGGAGAAATTTTGCAAGCTTTTAATTGATTGTTGGAGTTGCATTAATGTCATATATAAGTCTTATTTGGACCACTTGAATTTGAAATTTGGACCATATCATCAAACATGTAAGTATGCATGGGTAGTTAAAACTAATATTTCTATGTTTAGTGGTGTTTAGTTTTTATTCAATTGGCTATCTTTATTGATAAAATCTGGTGTGATATACTTATTATGCTTGTTGCTCATGCTATTTTGGGCAGACCTTGGTTTTATAATTAACATGTCCATTTTATGAGTTTTGATCCATATGTTTAAAAACTAGTAAGAGGAGTTATTTTGAATTCTGCAAAGTGTAATTGTAATTTTAAATCTACAAAAGAATCTAATGCTTCCAATGAAGTCAAAAAGTTTTTGCATATTCTTAGTAAACATGCATTTGAGAACTAGAGTAGGTTGGAGTGTATGATTTATGCCTTTGTAGCTCCTGAGCCGAATAATGTACTGCTCGATGTTAATCAATTTTTGTTGATTTTAAAGATATCTCGATGAGCTTTCTACTGAATTATCATTATTGTGGGATATACTATATGCTTGATGTAGTTCGTGGATCATCTTTTCCTAACTTGCTTCATTGTAGGATGAATCCAAAGAATACACTAAAGTTAATATGCATCTGAAAAAATTACTTAAGAGATTTATAAGGGAATGCTCAAGTCCTTGTATGTAAAAAAGAAGAGATTTGGCATATATGTGTGATTAATAGAGCCATTAATATAATTAGCATTAAATATAACTTTGTTTTATAACTCATTTAGATGATATGATATATGTGTTGCATAATGTTGTATGTTTTTCTAAAATTGATTTGAGAAGTGACTATTGTCAAGTTTTAGGTAAAGGATGGATTATATAAATGATTGGTATGCCTTTTAGACTAACTAATGCAACTAGTACTTGTACGAGGAAAAGGAATCATATCTTGTAACCTTAATTTTAAAATTTCTTGTTATTTATTTTTATGATATTTTATTTGATATGATCATTTGACACATCTTAGGAGAATATTTGAGATTTGCCGAGTATAAAATATATTTTTGAATGTGAAGAAGTGCTTTATTGTGACTCCATTTATGATTTTCTTAGGATTTGATGTGTTTAGAATTTGGATATCGCTTGTATGTTGATTTTGATAAGTTTAAAGCAATTAAAAATTATCAAAATATACTTACATGCATAGAATTCATATGGTTTTGCTACTTTTAATAGACAGTTCATTAAAATGTTTAGCTTTGTTTTTGTTACGATTACTAATTATTTAAAAAAAGGGAAATTTTTAGGGATTAAATTTGTTAATTATGCTTTTGTTGAGATCACGTAGGCTTCCTATCATTTTTGCACTTAAAATGATTTTACCAAGGCATTTAAATTTTTTTTTTATATGGTTGGTGTCAATATTGGAGGAGTGTTAAGTCTGACGCGACATTCCATTGCATTCTTTTGTGAAAAATTAAGTAAAATTAAACAGAAATATCCAACCCATGATTGGAAATTCTATGAAATTATGCAAGAGCTTTGTTATTATGTATTATTGGCTACCTAAAGAACTTGTATGATAATACAATGACTATCATTGAGCATTGATATTTTTAATGTCCAAAAGGAAGTTGTGACAAACATAATATGGGTTGAGTTTTTGCATGAATATTCTTTTGCATTTAAACATTAAACTAAAATAAAGGGTAAACTTTGTTGATATTTTAAGTAGAATTTTTGTCATTCAATATATAATACATGTTAAGATGATTAGTTTTGATCATATAAAAGAGTAGTATGCTGCTTAAAGGATTTTTGATAGATTTATCAAGAGTTAAGTAATAGTCCATATGTTTACTAGAAGTAAAGATTGCATGCTTAAAGATGGATACTTATTTAAGGTATTCATATTTGGGAGACTTTCTAGTGTTAGTACTATTTGCTGTGTAGCTGTAATTTTTTTAAGTTTAAAAAGGGTTGTGGCGCCTATTGTTCAATAACCTTGGATATGTTAGCCTGCTAATGATACATTTGGTTGTATGCTCTATAGCCAATTTCATATGAACCATGTGAATTATGTGAACCATGTGAAGATGTTGGTGTGACTTTTATTTTTGGTTTATTGTGATTATTGAGAAAATAGGATTCCATTTTTTAGTAGTAAATAATTTTTCTTTTCAATATAACTTCTTTTAAACATTTTTACATTTTTTTATGCTTCTCATGTTTTTAAACATTATTTTAACAAATTGTTTAAGTTCATGGGTTGTGTAAAACAATCGTTTTCATATGGTCGTAGAACTTATAAGATATTTTCTGGAAAGAAAATGGGAATACTTCTTAAATTAACTTCTAATCACTCACGTGTTGATTGACCAATGTGAGCAATATACATGAGACTGGGTGATCTAATATATCATCTGTTAAAAGACCACGCATCTTAATGGGATTGAATATTATTTATGATTGAGTTTGCATAAGATTCATTTGTCAGAGTATATGAGCATCGGTCCATTTGGTTCGACCTAAAAAACCTAAGACTATATGAATAGAGTTACTTCGAGTGGTCACAATTGATTCCACTTACTCCAATAAAGAAATACCATCTACAAATTAATATTTCTTTGTTTTATGGCCCTTTCTTATTCCTCATCATATCCAATAATTCTATTTTAGAACTATTTTCTTTTACACTGACACTAGAACCACCTTTTACTTTGCATAAATTGACTTGCCACACCCCTTGCAACAGGACCATGCAAGAAATTTTATAACATCTTAATGTAATCATAGGTGAAAGAATTTTTTTTAAAAAGAGGGGGTATCTAACACTTGAATCCTACCTTGATGCTAAATATACAATGTCTATGGTTGATGAGAGGTTAATTTCAAGATATTGGACATTATTAGTGGGCAAATTTTTGATATGGAGAAGCAAAAAATAAAAATGGTAATAAAATCTAGCGTAGAAGTCATATGTTGATCTATGATATTTGAAATATGAAAAAATTTATGGCTGAAAATCATGTTGGAAAGTTTAAACATTTAATGGAAAGATGTTTTATGAGGGATCATGTTAACAATCCAGTCATCAATATCGTACATAACCCCATGTAATATGATCTTTTTGAGCATAATGAAATTGATAAATATTGTATAAAAGAAGAGCTAGATAGTGATCAAATTTGGATTTATTCATTACCACATGGGAGCAATTTGCAGACATTATCACTAATGGATTGTAATGTAAAGGACAATCTTAAAAGATTGTTAGGCAAGCTTGGAATGAATAACATCAATTCATTTGTTTGAGATGGCATGTTGGAATCAATCTTGAAACTACACTTAAGCATTTCTCCATGCCTTCCATCAATCATGCTCTACATTCCAACCTCCACTGTCCGCTGAGCTCTCTCTCTACTCCTGATAGTCAACCCCCACCAATTGCTTCGCGCTTATCTTGCTACCACCAAACTTGCCATCTATTCTCTCTCCTTGTTTGGTGAAGGACCTCCCCATTAATGCATGCGATCATTGTTGTCGCCTTTTTAGTCATTGGGTTATCCTATTATAATTAAATTCTAGGGGCATTTACTTACATACCACCCAATTCCTATGTATTTACATGTCTACTACCTAAATTTTGCTTTTTATATTTATACCCCCAAAAAATTTTAAAAAGTGAAATACTCCTTCTCATGCATGGATATGTTATGTATGTAAAAATTGAAGTTTAGATGTTAGGTATATATGCAAATACATAGCAATTGAGTGTTATGTAAATAAATCTTCCTAAATTTTATTGGTAGTTTCTATCCCTTAAAATTTACTACTAGTTGTTCTCCTAAACTTGTATTAATTCAGCACAAATAATTGAATGAAATACATAAACTAATTCTTGTACTGGTACAAATCTTTTCACATTCGGCTAAATGAGTAAAATTTTTCTATTTTAAAGCACCGAAACTGACAAAAAATGTGATGATTCTCTCTGTTAAGGACTGAAATAGTCCTTTTAGAGGTTTTCTGTATTTGAAAATGATAATAATTTCAGTTTTGACCAAAACTGCCGTTTGTTGCAGGTGAAGAATTATAGAGCAATGGGTTTAGTCATGGTCATAAATGCTGATGTTGTTCCAAAATTCCGTGAAAATTTGAAGTCTCTTCTTGCTGAAAGCTAGAGCCTGAAATATCATCATGCACAAAAAGTTTCCTTTCAGGAGGCCAAAATAAAAAATTAAAAGAAAAAAAGACTGGAAAGCTACACGCTTATGCCCAAGTCTGGTTCACTTGTTTTGCTCTATTAACTTATGTAATTGCATGTGTAGATTACTTGATTCTTATGAGGGAAAATTCCAACATATTTTTTATTTTTATTTTTTGAGCTTTTAAATGCTGAAATTTTGTTTTTATAGTGTGATATTTTATATTTGGGCTAATGATAAGCAAGGGGCATTTAATCTGTATTTTTTTTTTTTTTTTCGGGCAAATGAGCGATCGAACTAACATCTTAGATTTTATATATTTACATGTCTAACATCAAAGTTTTACTTTCTATATTTATATTACCCAAATCTTTCATATCACATAAAAAATGCCACTGATTTAACTTTTAAAGGGTGAATACACCTTTTTCTTGTATGCATAAGGTGGCATGTATCTAAAAATTGTGAAGTTTAGCTTTTATGTTTGTAAATCTCTTTTTTTTCTTTTAAAGTGCTGCTAGTTGACTTGTTAATTAAATTGTACATCTTTTTAATAAGGATTAGAATGTAATATTATATATATAGTTTTTGTATTCTTTACTAATGATCACATTATTTGGATTTATTCTTTTAATGGTTATGTTTTGTACACTGTATTATGTGCTTAGATGACTGAGTTTTATGGTCATGGACTGTTTGGTTCAATATAAAGAGGTTTTCATATACATCTCTCAAAATAGTAAATATGATGTTTTAATCACTCAAAATTTAAATATAATATTTTAATTATTTTTTTTTCATTACAATCACTCTCCTAAAAAGTTTTTTTTTGCAAGGTTTAGGGTAGTTAAAATATTATATTTAAGTTTTGGGTTGTTAAAATATTATATTTAATGTTTTAGATGGTTGATATGTAAAAATATTATTATTATTATTATTATTATTATTATTATTATAAAAATAATATATTTAAGTCTTGGCCAGAAATAACCAGTTTGGCATATTGACAACAAGAACTAGCAAGTAGGGAAGGCGGGGATGATGGTTAGAGGTGAAGGGAACTGCAGATAAACATCACCTAAGGATGAGTTATAGTTGGAGCATTTTCTCGTCTTTGATACAACTATATGAGGGAGAATCAGAGATGTTGATGACTATCCTGACAACAAACATAAGTAAACTAATCCTAAACACCAAGAAAACAATGTATATAGTACTAGGTAATAGAAGGGGGCCCCAGCCCCCTTGAAAGACAACCCAGGACCCTAGGAGGACTGGTCAACCGATTCTTTTCCTTCAATTAAACTAGTTCAAAATCCTCTACGTGGAGGCATCCGCCCCTTCTGGTTTGGGAGGTTCACCTCCACGTTATACTTCGAGTTTGGAGAGCTTCGAGTTCATCTGTCGAAGCTTCCGTGTTCTTATAATATGTAGTCAAATCTGCTGGGTTGAAGGAGGCAAAAATGTTGTAATTCCCTCGTGGATTAATCTTGTAGGCATTTTCATTAATCTTCTTGAGGATCCTGAAAGAACTATCAATTTCAGCTTGAGTTTCTTGAATGATCCTAGAGGAAATATTTCCTTCTTCAAGCTGATTCATATTAGATCTCCTCAAGTCACATTTTTCTTGGTTTATTAGCTTGTGTTTTGTACTTGTGATTCTGTCTGGTGATCTCTTTCCCAACCTCCTCGTATAACATTTGAATCTCATGTACCCTCACGGCCTCACCTCAACATTCACATTAATCAAAGACATGGGCAGAATTGGTACTAGCTCAAGCAAAGTGAGTGTATTGCGCCCATATATAATATGGAAAGGTGCGCCTCTAGTCTGGCTCACAGACCGACTGTAGGAAAATTAGACCTGGGCTAGGAGTTGGTACAACTATTTGATGTTCTTTCCATGAAGCACCTAAGAAGTTTTTCCAAACTCGTGCTCATCACTTCCGTCTGACCAACTGTCTTCGGATGAACTACTGAGCAAAATTGGATTTTAATGTCAAGATTTCCCCAACAAGTTCTACAAAAGTAACTCGGAAACTTGGTGTCCCTACCAAATGTAATGGTCTATAGTATTCCATGTAGCCTCACGATCTCCCTGAAGTACAAATCAGCAACATGGGACGCACCCAACTTCTTGTGGCTTGACACAAAATGAACCATCTTCGAGAATCAGACAACCACGACCCACCGTAATATCCATAGTGATGTATACTTGAAAGACCGACCGTAATATCCATAGTGATGTATACCCAAGGGGCTTCTGATACCAATAACAGTGTGTATAGCCATGTATTTTGTCGTCGAGTCTTGGCCAAGTGACAAACTCTGCATTATTGGACATATCACTCCACATCTCTTGTCAGTTAGGGCCATAAAAAACATTTCTTCACAAGCGTGAGGGTCTTGTCTCTGCCAAAAGAACCTACTAGTCCCACACTGTGACTGTCCTAGATGATGGCTTCCCTCAACGAACAACTGGGCACACATAACTTGCTCTGGTGAAATAAGTAACCATCATCTCTATGGCATGATTATGTGGGCCCCTCCTTACAATGTTCCCAAATTTTTCTGAAATCCTCGTCTGTTACGTATAACTTCTTCATGACCTCAAATCTCACCACTCTAAATTGTAGACAGATACTCAGCAAATGGTGGTGGCTCAATGGACAGGCTACTCGATTTGGACTTTTGACCTTATGCTTAAGCATGAACTGGAATGACGCCAGAAACAACCCACAAAGTATGCCTACCCTTCAACGTTCTTTGGCTGCTCAAGAACTATAGCTCCTTATGATCTATAAATAAAGTGAACTCACTCATCAATAGGTAGTGACTCTAGTGGTGGAGGGCTCTCACAGTTGCATATAACTTTTTATTGTTTGTCGAGCACTTTCTCCTGGACCCACTCAACTTCTCGCTGAAGAAGGTTATAGGGTATCCTCTCTGGCTCAGCACTGCTTAGATCCCCACATTAGAGGTGGCACACTCCATATCAAATAATTGGTTGAAATCTAGTAAAGCTAACAATGGGGCATGTGTCACCTTCTCCTTCAGGGTATTAATATTGGAATAGACTGTCTCTGTCCACTAAAACTTCTCTTCCTTCAAAATCTTTATTTGGGGAGTTGTAATGGTGTTGAAGCTCTTGATGAACTGTCTGTAAAATGATGTTAACAATAAAAATTGCCTTAGCTCGGTAAAGGATGTGGGGGTGTCCAACTCACGATCACCTCTATCTTCGTACGATCCATCCAAATGCCTGCATCGGATATAATGTAACCCAAAAAAATACCTGTGTAGTTAGGAAGTCTCACTTCTTTGTATGGGCATATAGCTTCTTCAACCCCAAAACCTCAAAAATCTGCCTCAAATGTTGTAAGTGCTCCCCCTCAGAACTCTTATAGATAAGGATGTCATTGAAGTAAAAAAACCACGAACTTTCCAATGTTTGTCTACAACACCCAATTCATTAGCCTCATAAAGGTGATTGGTGGATTGGAAAATCCAAATAGCATGATCGACCACTCGTACAACCTACCTTTAGATTTAATGGTGGTCTTTCATTCATCCCCCAAACTCATACTGATATGGTGATATATGTTGCTTAGATCAAACTTGAAAAAGACTATGGCTTATTAACCTCATTTTTAGTCAACCAAGACAAATTTGACTCAAGAAACACACAGACGCCCTGCTCTTGGACCAACGTGGTCACACCTGGTCAAGGCGTAGACATGCCCAAGAGTTCCTAGGCCCAAATGTTCTCGAGCATGATCACACCCAACATTGGCGAGGCCAGGCCTTATTCTACTCCAGCCATCCGTTGATTTTCCTCCGATCCGGTGGCGAATCGATATGTCGATTCATCGGCCACTACTTGTCAAAGTTCTAACCACATGAATGATATCGACTGTTGATTCACCATCCTAATCGATGGTCATAGAGGCTTCTGTCACCGCCTCTTCGACCTATAAATAGACCCTCTCCACATGAGGCGTCGCCATTGTCTTCAACATTCAACCTTCAACACAGAAAAGAGTACACATAATGAAGAAGAGAGAAAAGAGTACACATAATTAAGAAAAGTCTGAGCCTCCTCCTCCAATGACAAACTAATGTGGTCTGCCTCCTGTCCAGGAGGCCCCATCTTTTTTGTTTGTTTCCTTAAGTTAACTCAGGTTAGTTACTTTTAACCCAAGTCAATAGACTTGAATTAGGCTTGGGTTTGGGTCCGACCTAAGTCGACCCGAACCCAACCTAACCCAAATCATCGTTGACCTGAACCTAGCCTGACATAACCCTGGTTTAGTTTTGAAACCAACCCTGGCCTGACCTAAGCCGACCCTGACCTAACCTAACCCCACTTTGACCCGACCTAATTCAATTCTAACCTGACCTTAACTTGATCTAACCGAAGTCAGATGATGTCCAACCCAAGTCTAACTTAGGTCAACTCAGATCCAACTTAGGTCCAACCCGAATTAGCCTAAGTCAACCAAGGTCCAATCCAGAAAAACTAAGGTCAACCCAGATCTAAATCAGGTCCAACCCAGGTCAACCCGGGTCAAAAAAGGTCCAACCCAGATCAATACAAGTCTAAACCAGGTCTACTCAGGTCAAACCCCATGTCCAAATCAGATCAACTCATATCCAACCCAGGACTAACCCCGGTTAGCCCAGGTCCAACCCAGATAAACCCAAGTCAACCCATATCGAGTCCAAGTCTAGCCCAGGTCCAGCCTTGGTCCAACCCACGTCCACTAAGGTCCAACCAATGTTCTGTCGAGGTCAACCCAAGTCAAGCCCAAGCCAACCCAGGACCAACCCAAGTCCAACCCAGGTTTAACCTAGGTTCAAAGCAGGTCCAACCCAAGTCAACAAAAAAATTAGACTAGCCGACCCTACATCATATCCAAGTTCAATTTCAAGTTGGCCTTAGTTGGAACCCTAGCTTGCCTCAACTCATTCCCAACCCAAGTTTAATCAAGGCTAAATTTATGTTTCATAGAACATGTTGGTTTGTGTCACTTCATGTTTAGTTTCATGTCTTTCACTCCATGTGTAGTTTCAAAAATAAAATAAAAGTAATAAAAAATACATAAACTAAAAGAAGGAAGAGAACCTCTCACAAGTTGATTTTTCCTACAAAATTCTAGAAAAAAAACCATAAATTCAAAAATAAAACCAAACTTA